TATCACACATGCTTCATATCATATGTGCATACACATGTACATACCGCACGAATACATACATACAGTCACTGCCAACCATAGATTAGTATGACACGCATACACACCTTATGCATTATATGTACAACCATGCATGAACTGGCACACACACACTAGTCCTCTGTAATACCTCATGTGCACACACGTGTATACATGTACCTATACACAAGACACATCACAACTGTGCTTACATGGTGCATTTCCCCGTTGTTGGTGCTACCCTGCTCCCATGGAAGGGTAGTACCAGCCCTGAGCCCAGAAGAGGCCGGCACCTTCCCAAGGTTCTGGTAATCAAGTCTGTCCCCTTAGCATTGTCATCAAGAGAGGAGTCAGGACTGAAATGCCACCGGATCGTACTACTGGATGCTGAATACACACAGAAAGAAACACAACCCAGTTCTGTCTGCGTGTCTGTAATAATGATCTCGATCTTTGACGGGGCTATAATGTGGCAGAAGCGCACAATAAGGCTTTGTGCCTGTAATAAATTAGAAGCAGACACTGATCTGGCTCTTCCAGGGTCCTTAACGTCGTAGAAGCGTAACGTGACTTTGTAAATCAAGTCGAAACCCCAGAGTCCGAGGCGTGGCAGCATTTATGAGGGTCACAGCAGCCGCAGGCAAAGCTCGCTGGGAATCTCAGCCACGGTGCCAACTGTCTTACTTGTCCTCAGGAACCTCAGGTGAGGACGGTATTCACACCTCAGTGACCCCTTACATGGGGACAGCTTCTCTGTGGTTCACTCTCAAAGAGGTCCAGTCCCAACACTGCCCTCCAGGGACAGGAGGGTGGCAGCTGGTAGCAAGTCACTCAGTAGCAGTTTGTGCTAGAACACCAAGATGTACAACTTCTTGTAGCCCCTGGGAACCACGAAGGACCATTGGAAAGCTGGTCACAAGTAACAGGGTATGGTGGACCCATGGCTGCAGAACCTGGTAACCAATTAGTGTGTCCACCTGGCCTCTCCCTCGCATCCATGGGCTTTCATGGGCAGATGGTGCTATGGGCTCCAGACCCTTCTGACGGGCATGGGTGCTGACCTCTTCTTCAGCTGCATAGGTTCTCCACTTTGGACAGGAGTCCAGCTTGAAGATGGAGCGCTTGCTGCCCTTCTAATCAGGTAGCTGAGATCACCTGTGTGTAGTGGCGTGAGTTGTCTCTGATAAAGTCATCTCCTTGTTCCACAGGGGGCGCCCCTACTGCTGTGGGCTGTGGAACACATATAATAGAACTACACCTCCCCGGGCTGGGGGTGGGGTGGCTCTGCTCAGCGGTGCTACGTCACGAGATCATTTCACCAGATAAGGAGACTTGTGCTGATGGATGTGACATCTCAGCAGACTCTCCTTGCACAACTCCCCTCGCCTTCAGCAATACCGCAATCACTGATTTAATACGGTTGAGTTACACCATGTGTACAAGGGTAAGCTTCACAGCATTGCTGTGGGAAGAAGAGAGGAGACAACCGGCCATCTGTCAGCTGAATGAGGGAAGCGCGTCCGGACACCTGAATACTTACTTCAAGGGAAAGTTAGTCGGCACTGAAACCGCATGGGACAAACACCATGGACACGGAGCCGTACAGGCGTATATTAGGAATACAGAAAAGACACACAGAGGATAAGCTGATGGGTGGATAGGAGATCCTGTCAGAGACTTCGGGAAGCACACAGAAGAAAAGCCACAGCTCATGGAGACCAGAGAGAGCACATCAGACATCTTTATACGTCTACTGTGTCTTCCATATTATTTTGGTAATAAAAACACTTATACAACACGTTATGCAATGCAAGAAGTTATTTAAGAAGGCCAGGATACATTTTTAAAGTCTGTTCAAGCCACAAAAAAAAAGTCACCATGCGTCTATTTAGTAAACATCACTGAGAGTCAGCCGCAGAGTCTAAGCGTCTAAAATATCTCATCAAAGGAAATGCAGCTCTCCAGCCCCAGTCTCCTGAGCCAGTGTGTGGGACAAGCAGGGAGCTATAATGGAACCAAAAAGCAAGCTGTACCATGCTCTGGACTGTGTTTCAAGAAGCAAAGGTGGAGGAGGTGAGACCGAGTGTCCAAACGTTCCTTCAGGAAGAGAACCAAGCAGATGTAAGGGGGCAGCAGGCAAGGAGTTGAGCCCAATGGAGGGATACTGATATATTAGAAAGGAGGGTGGGATGGAAGAAAGTCACGCAGGGCGTTCCCTCCCTTCTTCCCTCCCTCCCTCGGCGGGCGGGGGGGGGGGGGGGGGGAGCCACACTTAGAGAATGGAGAGACCAAGGTCAGCCTTAAAATGGAAGGACTACTGGCTGCAGTGTTGGCAACCGACCACGAGGGGGCGGCTGGAAGCAAGGAGGCCCGCAGAGTGGGTCCAAAGAGATCCTGGGGACCGCATAGGCAGAGACACAGCCCAGTTCATGGTAGGCCTATTCAAGTATTGTAGTTAATATTTAGTAACATTTAATTAAGCTTCGTCCTATAAACAGAGCTTCGCAGTGAGAAGCACCTTGCAGAGCTAGTGTCAGTGTGAGGATCCCGTTCGCTGTACACTGCACACGCACACTTATGCTGCCAAGCTGAGTGTGCAACGAACCCAATCACCATGGTTCTTCTGTGCGCATCCTCAGTCACTTCTTCAGATCAAAGCTGTGGACAGGCTCCTTTTCAGGTCTTTTGGCTACACTGTCAAACTGACTTCCAGGGTCCCTGGCCTCCATTATACCCCCTAGGTTTCTTCCTATTCACAGATCATGGGCATCATTATTCCTCACTATGTCTGCCCATCTGATTGGAAGGGAAAGCTTTCCTTGCTTTGTAACGGGTACGCTGTGGGGGCGGGGCATCGTCACAGGCCTTAGCATACAAGAATAAGAAGCTTAATTCCGAGCGCCAGCCATAAACACCTAAACAATGAAGTTGGAAAATAATTTACAGTGGTGTAAGAATGAAGTAAATTCTCAAAAACAAATTTAACACTGGCTCAAGACTCCCTGGTAACTGTGAGGCGTGGCTGAATAAAGTGATCACAGATCTGATTGTGGGCAATGTGGCCCATTTCCGCACCCATGTGGCCCATTTCTGCACCCATGTGGCCCATTTCTGCACCGAGGATGCTCAACCTCGGGTCGTATTTCCCACTGCTTGACAGATTCTGGACATTCTCCAACAAAGCCCATGCTGTCTCCTCTGCAGAAATTGGCAACGTGACACCTAAATTCCTGTAGAAATGTGGAGGGCACAGAGCAGGGAACGCTCAAGCATCCAGACTTCAGAACCTCTGGAAAGGAAGTCACTGGCACAGCTGTGGCCCAGGACAGGGTCTAATATGACAGGAAACAAAGATTCGTTCTGTGCGTCAGTTGGTTCTCCACAGGGTCCCACACAGCTCCGTGGGGAGGGGATTGTTGCCAGCACATGGTTGTGGGCCAGTGGGATACACATCTTCAGAAGAGAGAGAGGGACCCGGGTAGAAAGACCAAGCAGAGCTCAGGCAGAGTGGATGTAGAACTTCAGGGTAGGAGCTAAAACTACAGAAGCTTATTAGGGGAGCCTGCAGTAGAATCGGGCAGCGACTTCTCGGTCGTAACACAGAAAACACAGTGACAAGAGAAAAAAATAGATGCGGTGAAATAAAAATAAAGAGTGAAAATGTTAACTGAGCCTGGTGCCGAGAGTCTGCGATCCAGGTATGCTCAGGAGGCTGGACTGGTCTGCATGGTAAGTTAGAAAGGGCAGTGTAGGGAGACCCTGTCTCAGAACTGAACAAAACAAAAACAGGAAAGCAAAACAGAAGCCTAAAGACTGGAAGGGGTGGGGGGAGACTGGGAGTCCTGTATCTAAGGATTTTGCAGATGGTATTTAGTAAGAAAAGAGTCTCTGATCTTAGTTACTAAAGATGTCACCAATTCAGAGCACGCAGAGTGCCTGGGTGCCATTTCTTCAGGGGAAAGATGCCTAGCCTCTTCCCGCCTCAGAAACTGCTAGCTGCCAGCTGCACTCCACAGCCCTGGGCACTCTGGGTGATACAACTTCCAGCAGCGGGTGCGGCTGGCACCTTCCCACCCCTGCTTCAGAGGCAAAGGTGAACGCTCAGGAAAGCAGCCTGGCATGTCTTCAAAACCTTGAGCACAGTAGCCACCTGTGATTCACCGGTTCCTGCCTTAGGTGGACGCTCAAGCGAGAGGAAAGGGTTTCCACCCGGCCTGCGTGCAGAAATGCAGAAATGAGTTGCAATTTCTTCCTAAGAAACGCTGGAGAAACATGAGGGCTCTCACCACCCAGCAGAGAATGATTCCGCCAGAAAAAGGAGGTTCTGGGGGTGCAAAATGGGCGCATCCGGAAGTCTAAAAACAGTAAAAAGACCCGGATAGCAGGATTCCACTCAAAACAGTGTCCACTGGAGGCAGGCGTGGCTGGGGGGGGGGAGGTCTGAGCATGTGTGCAGAGGAGGTGGGGGCGACTGATCATGTGTGTGCGGCTTCCTTTTGGAATCCAGTGTTCCTGAAGTGACCACCATGGTAAGAGCTGCACAACTCAGGAACTTGCTAGAAGCGTCCTTAAAGGTGCGTGGCATGTGAGGGAGGGAGGATTAGATACACTGAGAAGCAACCAGAGGTTTCCAGGTACATACAGGTGTGCACTGGGAAACCTGGTAGTGGGTTTTCCATACGAAACAGGAACGTGGTTTGTGCAATGTAATTTTTTTGTCTTTTTTTTTTTTCAATTTAAAAACCTAAACAACACCTTTCTCTGGCCGTGCCTAAGCTCTCCTCTGTTCCTTTGCGGAGGGGCTCTGGCCTTCCCTGAGGAGCACACAGGTCTCAGGGGCACAGGGGTTGGGCTGGGCTAGGGCGCGGCGGGCCGACGGGGCGGGCAGGGGGCGGCCGCTGTGACCTCGGGCGTCGCAAACACCGCCCTCCGCGGCCAGCGATAGGTCCTACCCCACCTAGGCGACCTGCGGCCGGGGGCGGGGAGACGCGGCGGGGACGCGCAGCGCAGTGGTTGAACGGCCGACCGGGAGATGTGGGCTCCGAGCGGCCTGGGACCCGCGGGCTGGGACCGCCGCAGGGTGGGCGCGCGGCTACGGGCGGCACTGGCCGGGTTGCAGGAGCTTCAGGGACTGCGCGCCACGCAGCAGGCGCGCGTGCGGGGCGCCCTGGGCCTGCACCCTGCTCCCGGGCCCCGCGGCCAGGAGCTGCGGCTGGAGGCGGCGCTGGCGGCGCTGCGGGAGCAGCTGGTAAGGAGAGAACGGGACACGAGTGGCCATGGGGGCGTGTTGGGGAGCGACCGGGGTGCAGCTGCGTGGACTGAGCGAGTGGAGAGGCCTGATGCGCGGCTGCGTGGGGAGCGCGCTACGGGGTGCGTGCTGGGGAGCCGCGCGCGGAACCTGGTGTTGAATGCGCAGCGCCTCTGCGGCTGACACAGCATTGGTGCGGAGGCGCGCAAGTCGGGCTAGAGGCAGGGGACCCTGGCTTCAATCCCCTAGCAGGTCTTCCTGCTGCACAGCTGGACCGTGTCTCGCAGGGCACCCTACTGGGTTCACTTGTGTCACTGGGGAGTCTTGCCGGCTGATGCCAGTCTCCAAGATTGCCTGTCAACTGATCCGCTTTTAACAACAAAACAAAACCGAGTGTGCTCCAGTCTGAGGAACGTGGGAGGGGGAGATCTGTGGTGCTTTCTCAGCTACCCGCGCCCATTGAGTGCCCCTCTGTGGACCCCTGGACGCCTGCTTGAGATGCTTTGCAGTGCTGCAGTGTTGTGTTGTTGTTTGTTTGTTTGTTTTTCGAGACAGGGTTTCTCTGTGTGGCTCTGGCTGTCCTGGAACTCGCTTTGTAGACCAGGCTGGCCTCGAACTCAGAGAGATCTTCCTGCCTCTGCCTCCCAAGTGCTGGGATTAAAGGTGTATCACCACCGCCCAACACTGCAGCATTTCTAAAATAACAAAATGATGGTCTCGGTGTAGTGGAGGCTCATCCATAACTCTTAAGTGGGATTTCTTGGATGGAGAAATTTGGATCTCTCCCGTTGAGAGTTGGTAAAAATCCAGGGAAACTGTTGTGTTCAGTCAGCTTTAGCTCAGAACCGTGTTGGATTTGTGACTAAAGAATCAGGAAGTCCAGCGTCTGAGTCACTCCCCAGGACACCTGGAATCTTCCTTGGGTGTCAGAGAGGTGGAGAGCTGGCTGAAGGTGGAACCCAGCTGGCAGCCTCCTCCAGACTGTGAGACGCTCACCTGCCCAGAGACGGACATGGCTGGTGTGGACTGGACTCTGCAAATTGCTGGACCCAGGAAAGGACCAAGCCATTACAACAGGTGCCTGTTGTTCAAAAGGCTACGCACTCCGCTTCACGTGACCTCAACCAGGCAGGCACACTGCCGGTTACACGCATGACCCGTTCCCTTAAGGTTAATGATTAACTCCGCTTCAGTGTGTGGGATCACCGATTGGTCTACCCAATCGGTGATCCCACACACTACAATTACCAGCAGCCTTTGGAGACATCAAACAAGCTTTGTTGACACACACACACACACACACTCCCTCCCCTCACCACTACCATCACTACCCCTCTCCGTGAGACCAGAAAAACACGCAGGCTTTGTTATGAAACTTAGTTCACAGGAAAAGAGAAAAATAGTTGAATTTATGTGGCTCTAACCAGCTCTTAGCTCTTCTTTCTTGAGGGGGAGAGCAAGAGCACTTGTTAGATAAAGAAAATAATGAAAGGGCTGCCAGTTAAACCCGGCAGGATCTAGATAGCTCACTGCCCTCCCGCTGGCTCACCTGGCCCTCAGTCAGTGTTCAGGTGTGAAAACCGGAAGCGTCCAGGAGCCCCCCACCCCCACCCCTGCAGTTATCCTGCGGGAATTCTCAAGTAGGGATGGGTTTAGCCATTTCTAGGGATTCAAGATGGGCTACGCCCTGCTAATTGCAGTGTCAAAAGTCACAAAGGGAACTCTGCAGTAGTTGCTTAGGAGAGTTTTGTTCATTAGATAAATCAGTGACTCGTGATGAACTGGGGCCAAAAACAAAACAAAACCAGAGGTGATTTCAGCACTTAATCCTCCTTATTCCAGACTTCTTTGCTGATGAAATCCCATGCGCTCTGACCCCACAGTCTGCTTCAGGTGGCCCTTTAGGCTGCCCCATGAGTGTCTTCACAGGGGCTTGTCTCAGGAAATGGCTAGTGTTTTTACTCAAGTAAGTGGGCTTAGGTAGAATAGCACCTTGGCTTGGCACTATGCCAAGAAGCTGTAACATTCTATCATGCCTCGGCTACATCCAGAAGAGGCGTCCTGGAACAGCAGGCCCTTATGAGGACCATCCTGCAGGAGTGACGGGTTGCGACTTGTTCTAAAAGTGACAACATGCAGCAGCTCAGGCGGTGACACCACAGGAGCAAGCCACATCGATTCCATAACCGTCAATGGTGTTTTCCTTGGCTCGAGCAGCTTGCTTGATGAACACACAGGGGGCAGATGGAGGTCAGATGAGAAGCAGATGAGGCCAAGAACAAGGAGGACCTGACAGACTTCTCCAGGGTCACTGTCAGTCTCCCCTGTGAGCCAGCGCTCCGGGCCCTTCACTATTGATGGATACACTGTGAAGTTTGCAGGAGGTGGTCGGGGGTAATTCATGAATCACACATTTTCTGTGCTCACTATTAGCATTCCAAGAGAGGAAGGAAGTGTCTTAGATACCATCTCAACATCTTGAATTTTTTATCCTCCAAATATATTACAAAGATTTTTTTTTTTAAATGCTGAGGTTGCAGGGCAGAACCGTCCATGGGGGAAGGTGTAACACATTCAGATTCAGTTCTGTGCAATGGTGTGGGGCTTTTAAAGGAATCGGCCAGCTGCCTTTCAGGGGAACCATGGAATGGCAGGACTCGGGCATTTGGTGACTGCCAGACTTAGCTGGTGAAGGTACAAGGTCCTACCCCGGAGCCTTACATAGCAAGAGCCCAGGATTTGCAGGTGTGCTGGGTGTGGTTAGTTCTCCCTTGCACCAGGTCTCTGACCCCTGACCCCGCTTTGGGGGATTCTGACCCAAGTGGCTCAGAACATCCCTGGCATCAGCATGAGGCTTGTAGACCGTAGGCAGGCTTGGTCCTGGGCAGAGTGCCACAGTCTGGCTGTAGTCAGCGGTGCGCCCCACTGGTCACAGTGGCTTTGACCCTGAAGTTCAGCCTAAGGAACAGTGATGAAAACGTGAAGCAGGGGTGGAGGAGGCATTAATTAGGGGCTATCAATCCCTATGGTGAGCTCACAGCAGAGCCCGAGGATCCTAAAAACTGGGGTCTTGAGACCTTAACCATTAACCAGAAACTAGCTGCCTAGGCTGGCTGGACAGATGTTATCTGTAGAGCAGATGGTCCCAACCTTCGGAAGAGGGCAACCAGCCAGACCTCTGAAGAAGGGAGGTTGAGAGAAATAGATGCTGTCACTCACTGGACTGGACCTGGCAGAAGTGCTTGGTGTCTGTGGGCCGTCTGCGTCAGGGTAGGACAAAGAAAAATCTTTTACAGGAAAAATCCGTGCCAGTCCTTTGATGGGCCTAGTGTTGGTTTCTGGGGGTTAGAAAGGGCATGCCTGTGTCTCCTTCCTGCTTGTCTGGGAGTTTGTAATGGGAGCAGGTTCAGGGAAGTTTCATTCACTTGTGACATGAGCTGCTATAGGAGATACTGTTGCCCCAGACACCATCAGACCCTGGGTTTGTAGAGTTAGGATCAGAGCCTGGGACCTAGCAGCCCTAAAAAGCCAGCTGGGCCACCCACAAGTCGTAATGAGACTCTGAAATGGGAATATTTATTCTGTATGTCCGCATGAAGAAGAGAGACAAACGAAAAGGCCCAATGACACCCCAAGTTCATCTTTGGGGGTACCCCTTTAGATTTAAAAAGAAGTAAGAGATGAGCAGTCCTCATCTATCCTTGTCTCAGATGCTGCCAGGAAGGTGGTAGGTGAGTTGTCAGAACTGGGGGAATTTCTTCTCGGGAGATAAGCTCTGGCTCCAGCTGGTCCCTGCTTAAGATGAGATTCAAGGGAAATTCCGATTTCTTAGTGCCCATTGTCTCTTCAGAAAATCTTCTTTCCTGTGGGGGCGAGAGCACCCGGAGGTGGCTCCCACCCACACCCTGTCAGCTCCTGCAGGGGAAGGCTGAGCCTGCTGAGATTGGCATCCCACTCAGCTCACCCTGACCCTTTGCGAAATCACTTGTTGTGGTGAACAGGAAGTCATAACTGCCGGCATCTGCTGCCGCTGATTTCCACGCTGCTGAGATTTCTGATGTAGCTCCCCGCTAGGAAAGTCATGGTCACGCTCTTCCACAGATGAGCCGTGTCCCTCTTTGTTTGCCTTGTTAATTAGAGGAAAAATATGTATGTTGCCAGCCCAGACATCAGGAAACTGCACGGTTGAAAGAAATCAGTTCTTACCAAACACTCGGTACTGATTAGTTTATGTATGAGCACGCAGAACTCACCCTACTTTGTGTGGGCTTCACAGTGTGTGTGTGTGTGTGTCTGTGTGTGTGTGCGTGCGCATGTGTGTGTGTCCGTCTGTGTGGGCGCGCATGTGTGTGTCTGTGTGCACGCATGTGTGTGTGCATGTGTGTGAGTGTGTGCGCGTGTACATGTGTGTGCGCACGCGCGTGTGTGTACATGTGTGTGAGTGTGTGTGCGCGTGCGTGTGTGTGTACATGTGTGTGCGTGCGCACGGCTATAGACCTGAGGACTATGGTATAAAGAAGTCCATTCTCTGGGGATAGTCTTGCACATAAGCTCGCCAAGCTGTCCAAGTGAAGCTGGGGTCTCCTATCAAAATGCCCACTCCCAGGTACCATAGGCCATGGAGGTGCTGTGTGAAGAACTATCTTCACTCCTACTAGACTGTGTGCATGTGTTTGTACATGTGTGTGCGTGCACACACGCACATGCCAAGGGGAGCAAGTCCTTCACTGTACTTTCCAGCAGACCCAGGGAGTTGCTTCCCACTAGTTAACATGAGTTCGGAGCTGGAGTCTGGGAGCCTTCCCGGTGTCTGTGGTGGCCCTGTTTCCACCTTGGACCTGGTTTAGATCTCTGCATTCACGTCGGTTTTTATTCTCTCCTTCGCCTCCCAGTCACGGTTGAGGCGGCAGGATGCAGGCCTGAAGACTCACCTGGACCAGCTGGACCAGCAGATAAGTGAACTGCAGCTGGATGTGAGCAGGTCATCTTGCGAGGCCCTGGACAGTGACAGCAGGCCCAGCTCAGGTACGGCTGATGGTGGCTGCCACCCCTCACAGACCTAACGCTGTGGACAGTGCCAGCTGCAGCCTGTGTCCTCCACTGATCTGACACTTGGGAGTTCCCCTGAGCAGCCTGGGAAGTGGATGTGACTAAAGACATAAAAAGCTATAAACACACTGAAAAAAAATACAAATATAATAAACATATGAAGTTTAAATATATGTCTTAAGAGTTTACGTACAGTACAGTTTATACAGCAGTTCACACATATGTAAACTACCAGCTGTATTAAATACCCCAGGAGCTCCTAAACCATGCTGTGGATCACCTAAGTCATTTACATCAACTTGACTGGCCCTTCCCTCCCTGTGCACCATCCCAGACCTCCTCAGAGAAGGTCATTGTTGGCAGTCTTTGCTGGCTTGTGTGACTCTGGTCACCTTTGCTTTCTCAATACGCTACAGGTGAAACTTGGCAACAGGGACCCCTGTGTCTGGGTTACAGTGGTCACAGGTATCTGTGACGGCCAGCCTGGGGTGTGTGGAGTCTTGGTACTTGGCTTTTGCAGTCTAACCTGGAATGTGCTACCCGAGCAGTCCCTGGGACTGAGGACTCCCAGGAAGGAAATGCCCCCCCCATGCAGTTGTGTGTTAAAGAAAGGAGATATCCGTAGCAAAGGAAGCTCTCCTTCTGAGCATAGCTATAGGGGTCAGGTGAGGTAGGGTCAGTTGTTCACATAGCCACTCACAAGGTTACCAGCAAGAATCTAGAACATTCTCATTGTGGACCTGTCTCCACAGGCATTCTTAGCAGCCCCTCAGCACTCTCTGTGCCAGTAAAAGCAAGAGAAAAGGGGTCTAAGTCTTAGGGTAGAGCCCACTGGCCAGGGGCGCACTGACCACTGTGTCTGCTCTGTTTAGGCTTCTACGAGCTGAGTGACGCTGGGTCCTGCTCCCTGTCCACCTCATGTGCCTCTGTTTGCAGTGACCGCCTGTCCCCCTCACTGGGCGGCTGGCTGCCTGTGTTTCATCCCTCTAAGTCCAGGTCTGGCATGGGGGACTGGCGACCCCGCTCTGCGGATGAGACCACTGTCCCTGCATGGAGCCCACAGCCCAGTGGAGAAGATAGCAGGTTCCCGCATGGTGCAGAGGACACAGGCCGGCCGAGGGGCATGTTCCGGCCTAGACCTGTGTCTACAGGTGAGAGGGGATGGAGAGAGCGGGAGTGTCGTTTGGGTGAGAAGGATAGCAGATGATGGTACCTGGGCTCAGTGGGGAAGAGGCTGACCCCACTTGGATGGAGCAAGTGTGTGTGTGTGTGTGTGTACGCATGTGTGTGTTTCTTCTTTTAAATGAACATCCAGAAACTCCAAAGAAGCATTCAGATCATGTGACATGCCACATTTAGAGTAAGAATCGAGGCACAAGCACCCTCCATGTTTTCCCAAGAGAAAAAGATGTCACCTGGACACACACACACACCTGGGCTCTGTACCAGCCTTGGTCTCTCTGTGCCAAGTCTCCAGTTTCACTCCCAGGCTGTGGATGCTGGAGCAGTTCCTGTCGTGACTGTCCCGTGTATGGCTGGACACGTTTCTCCTGGGTAGCCTCCCAGCTGTGATTAAGTGGAGGCACCGAGATGATGCTTTCTTCTCCTCACTGAAGCTCAGGGACCAGTACACACTGTCAGAGCCCATAAGGCCCGAGCCTCCATATGCGCCTATGGGAAACAGGAACTTGGCATCTGTCTGTGTTGATGTGCTTTTCATGGTCTCATTCCCAGGTGATCTTGAGAGAGTCCTCCCAGATGACCTGGGGCTTCAGAGAGCTGGTGTTGATGCTGCACCCCCATCCCTCCTCTGCCAGGGGATAGAGGTCCCAGCCCACACACTGGACCCCAAGTACCAGCGGGATCTGGTGGCCAGGGGTGGCCAGGAGGTATACCCGTATCCCAGTCCCCTCCATGCAGTGGCTCTCCAGAGCCCGCTCTTTGCTCTGCCTAAAGAAGCGCCACATCTTGACATCCACTCGCCTCCTCCGGAGCCTCCTCAAGTCCCTGTTGATCAGAACAGGACTCAGGCTGGGCCGATCCGTGAGCTGGGCTCGGCCGAAGCCTACATCCACAGGCTGTTGCGTCTGCGGGGCCAAGAGCTCCCTCTGAGGGATGAGCTGCAAGAGCAGGGAGGGGACCCGGCTCCTTTCCCACGGAAGCCGTGTGGCCAGAGATCAGACAGTGGAGGTCAGCTCGAGAAGCCGGCCTACGGAATGGACAGGGGAGGAATGAAACCAAGTAGAGATGCTGCCAAGGACAGCCTCAAGCAACAGGGGCCTGTGTCCCTTGTGGATACTGAGCCCCTCAGCAGCCCCCTGCAGGAGGAAAGCACCTGTTGGAATCCCCGTGTCCACGGAGACAGTTCTGTAGGTTTTTCTCTCTGCTCCCAGGCCCAGCAGACCTGCATTGACTATGGCCAAGGACAAGCCCTGTCACCTTCCAGGGTACTGGGCCCTGAGAGCCCCCCTCTGGACCCAGGACCCTTTGCCTACCCTTCTTACACCTCTGGTGAAACCTCCCCAATGAGGCTGAGGATGGGATCTCCCCAAAGCAAGGCGGTGAAGGTCAGAAGAAGAATCAGTGATAAAGTGCCCAGGCTGGGGAAGCAGCTTCCACCACAACCCGGGAGACAGCAGGGCACCCATGCCGCTGCCTTGACTCCAGAATGGGGCCCCTCATGCAGGCCCCAGCAGGGGGGGCTCAGCAGGGGCCCCACACTGGCCAAAGAGCCTCCTGGACGCTCCTGCTCTGAGTCCACCCTATACCCTGTGCCCTTCTTTGTCCCCCTAGTGGTGGCCCAACAGGAAAGTTACCCAGCATCCCAAGTTCTGTTCCCAATGGAGGCATCCCCCCTCAACTCGGCAGCCAGGGGGAAGCAGCGCAGGTGGCAGTCTACTACAGAGATCTCAGCCAAAGCCTGCTCAGTCAGCCATCCTGGGCCCAGCTTGGGGCCCCTTAAGTCTCCAGCCAGGAGAGTAGGTGGTCCCCAGGTCCAGAGCAGGCCCGCACTTGCCCGTCAGGATGCCTGTGTGAGAAGCGAGTCCGACCCCTCCGAGCACTCGGCAGAGTGTGCCTCGCTATTCCACTCCACCATTGCCGAAACCAGCGAGGATGAGGAGGCCAGTGACCACACTGCCAACCGCTTCGGGGACGAGTCTAGTAGCAACGATTCGGAAAGCTGTGTCCAGAGTAGCCGCAGTGGCCTGGGAAGAGGCAATGCACAGGTTGGACAGAGGGAGAGGGCGTGGCCTCGGGTGCCGCCCCAGCAGTCCCCACGGGTCCCAGGAAGCTCCAGGCCACCGCTTCCCCCTGTGCCCAAACTGTGCCGCATCAAGGCCTCCAAGGCCCTGAAGAAGAAGATCCGCAGGTTCCAGCCAGCAGCCTTGAAGGTCATGACCATGGTGTGATGTCAGTGTTTTAAGCCTAAGACCCCAGGACGCGCAAGGCCCTCCTTCCACACCGTTTGATGAGCAGACTGAGGGTACCACACCGTCGTCTTGCTTACGTTTCTCGGTCACCCTCACTGTGGTTGTGAGTTCTCTCGGGTGAGTTTCCATCCAGCCGTTTTGATTGCATGATCCCAGCTGCAGCTTTGCCCTCCATCACGCTCTGGCTGGTGTGTGGGGAGAGGTCTCTAAGAAGGCATTCCTGCCCAGAGACGGCTGCCCAGAGACGGCTGCCCAGAGACGGCTTAGGTGCGTCACATCCTCTTCAGGGGACCAGATTTGAATTCAACTCCACACTACACTCATGATAAATGCCTGCATGATGCTGATGTCGTACCAAATAAAAGAACCACTCCCCTTCTTCTGCAGCCGCTGTCTTGTCTGTCTGCCTTCCTAACATGGGATGTGCACGGACCCGAGGGAGGAAAGACTTTTTGAGAGTAAAGCCTAAATTCTGGATTCAACACAGGTGAATTGAGTAGGAAAAAATATTTGGAAAATAATTTTTTCACTTTTTTTGTCTTTTGTTTTTTAAAAAAAGTCTACTTTCGAAGGATGAGGATGATAGGTTTTCAACTCAGCTGTTCAGAGTCGTGCGTACTCACGAGGCAGCCTTCTGGGTCCAACACGTTGCCCTTGGAGGGGATATGGGGTGCATCTCAAGGGGTGCATCTCACGGGGTGCCTGCCCTTCCCCTGCATGCTTCACAGAAGCCTTGAAAGCGAGACAGAAAGCCTGAAATACTGGGGCAATAAAGTGTCACACTTGAGCTAAAGTTTTCTATCGCAAGAGCTGTGTACAGGGCGAAAGGTGAAGAGACTTCATTGATTAAAGTTTAGAACAAAGACATCGGCCTTCCTCGAAAGGGGGAGAGGGAGAATGGGAATGAATGCTTTGGGGGTTTCAAAGTGAAAGAAAGCAAAGGGCTTTTGGTGCCACCCACTCCAACCTGCAAATATTATTCCGAAGGGGCCACGAGAACAGTCTGAAAAGCAAACATTCCAGTATCCGCCTTGACTTCCTGCCTGCACCTCCTGGGATTGCTCAGGCCAAGGCTTCTGTCACCCTTCTAATTTCACAGAGTTTAAAGGAACATTAAAAGCCAGTCATGACCCGGGATTTTATTGTAAAAGGTAGTTTTTCTATCGCTGTAACAAAATGCCTGGCAAACTTAAGGAAGGAAGGTGTGTTTTGGCTCACAGCCTCGAGAGAAGGCGTGGCATGGGAAGGCAGCGCAGTTCACACCATGGTAGCCCAGGAAGCAGAGAATGGGATGGGATGTGGCCCGAGGTGATGTACCCCTTTGGACCAGCCTCCAGTGACTCAACTTCTCCATCCAGGACTCGCCTACAAAAGTTTTCAGTCTCCCCAAATATCACCACCAGCAGGGCATCAAGTGTGAGAAACATTTCAGATTCACACCATAGCCTTCTGCCCGGGGCCCTGAAGTCTTCTCACAAGTACATCGTGTCCACTTCCAAAGAGTCCCCACAGCCTTAATGGTTCCAGCGTCGTTCAAATGTCTTGAGTCCAGAGATTCATGGCAATCTCTTAGCTGTGAGTCTCAGAAAAGTGATATAGCTGTACATAGCACTGGCTGTGTGGCTAACGTGATCTGCCTCATTGCCTCATTCCTGAGGTGAGGGGAAGCAGATTTTTGGCTGAACTTTCACCTATGAGAGCTGCTCAGAGTCTTGATGAAGCTGTCTGGGCCCCTGCCCAGACCTAAACCTGCATCCCTGCTGCTTTTTCTGGAGATGGCATAAGCTCCATGCTTTTGCTCAGCATAGTCTCTCTCTGAAGCTATGCAGTTGGGGCTCAAGTGTACCCCATGAAATAGATGCACTCGGGCCTATCTACACAACTGTACAAGCAAATCAGGAAAGCCATACAGCTACACAATCTGCTCTCAGCTCTCTGTACCCCAGCTCTGTGTGTGTGTGTGTGTGTGTGTGTGTGTGTGTGTGTATGGACATTTCTGTCCCACCAAGTCTGCAGCTGTTTGGTCCCAAAGAAACACACAGAGGCTTATTTAATTATAAATTGTTTGGTCTATTAGCTCAGGCTTATTATTAACTAGCTCTTACAACTTAAATTAACCCTTAGTTTTTGTTCATGTTTAGCCACATGGCTTGGTGCATTTTCTCAGTAAGGCATTCTCATCTTGCTGCCTCTGCATCTGGCTGGTGACTCACTCTCTGCCTCTCCTCTTCCCAGAATTCTCTTGGTCTGGTTGCCATGCCTATACTTCCTGCCTGGCTACTGACCATTCAGCATTTTATTTAACTAATATGAGTGGCAAATTTTACAATGTACAAGAGCATTATCCCACCGCATGTGTGTGTGTCCATCCCCTTTTTTCTCTCTGTCGTTTGTCTCATTGCAAATAAATAAATAAATAAATAAACAAGTCTCCAGTCAGATTTGTGAAAACCCAACAGGAACCGTTCAGAGACCAGAGCAGCTTACAAATGAGGTTCAGCTCCTAAACGGTGCTGGCCCGGGGACCTCACTACTGAATAACAGGTGGGGACTCTGAGTGGAAAATGATCAAGATTCCCTCTGAAAATAGACCTGGATCCCGGGGGTCAGAGCCTGGTGGGTGGTAAGGGCTGAATCTCTGGAGGGACAGGTTCTGGGGAAGGCTACTACTGCAGGACCCTGGACACGGCTGTGATTTAGAGGAGAGTGCTCAGGTAGTCGGAGAAGCCGCTGAATTTCCCTGAAGCCCCTGACTAGAAACCAGCCACACAAAGACCCTGCTTCTCTCAAGCCCACCTCTTCCTGTCTGGCTGGAACTCAGGCAGACATTTTGATTTTGCAGAGTCAGAGACTCAGTCCATGTCTCTGCTTTCATTTGCTCTGAAGGCAGGGTTGAGATGGGTGAACACAATGTGGGAGATTCCACCAGGGTGGCTCAGACAAGGACAACTTCCCCACCAGAACAACTCGCTTTCTTTAAAAGGGGAAGCGAGCGGTGCTATAGGGCAGAATGAGCAGCAGCTGATAATATCAGAGCGATGGCCTCTCTGGATCAGCAGAGTGACTCCACCCACACTTCCGGTGCTGTTCCCAGGGTGAGGAGCCCCCCCACCCCAAGTGCTCAGGATGGGAGAAGTAGACAGTCTCGTGACATACCGAGGCAGTGGAACCCGGATGCAGAGCCACTCTGAAGCAGTTACGATGGCCACTGCAGAGCTCACATTGAAGAGGCTCGACCAGCTCCATGGCAAATCACTCAGCTTCCTCGGGCAGAATGCACGGATCTCACCTGAGACAGAGAGGGACAATTTATTCCATAGCCAAACATGAGCATTGCCCCGGAACTCAGATTCGGGTTACCCAAGCACCACGTCCTAAAGCAGCAACATTTTTATGCAGTTTTTACATCAGCAGAACAGAGAAAAGTCATAAATCAAGGCACTTTTAAAGTATCTAAAGACATCAGTAGCTGGGTTAAAGCAAAAGCATCTCTGGCATAACCTCAGATGTCACCTGACAGCATCCTTAGCTTTGAAGTTGGTGAAATCTAAGGGGTCCGTTTGTACATTCCGAAAGGATTTACCTAATAGCCACGAAGATGGCAGGCCACCTGCAGAAGTGGGCAATAAATGGCTCTTTGGAAGACTCAAGATAATTCGTCCCCCGGCCTATAAATTCCATCTCTCCATGGCCACTGACGTTCTAATCAGTCAATCAGCCTTCTAGAATGTTTAACGTAGGTGTGGCTTTTTTTCTAAGAGTGTCAGTTCACATATTTCAGGGTAATTTTCTTTCAGACAGACGTATCTATTCCTGGGAGGGCAGAGCAGGAGCCCCCTGGGCAGTGCGGCTGTGATACGGGACTCACAGGCGCCTGGTGACAGTGGCTGGCAGATGAGCACCCCCAAAGGGTGCAGCACAGTCCAGCTGACGCTTCTACCACAGCCTCTTTAGAAACTTTGGATAAGTTCTAGCGTGTTTGAATTCAAAAGCATCTTAGAAAAAAGAAAGCCAAACTAATGCAGAAATTAAATATGTTATTATAATTAGTAAAGAAATTAAATATACTATTAGCAAAAGTACCCAGCTCTCTTTAATGAATTGTAACATTTGAGAAAATAGGCTTAGGCCAGGCATGGTGGTGAAAGCACTGGGGAGCAGAGGCAGGAGGATGTCTGTGAGTTCAAGGCCAATCTGATCTATACGAAGGTAGATGGGTATCAACACGGTTTTATGAGGAAATGGGTCATATCCCATGACGGCAACAAGGGTACTGATGGCCACACTGGCTTCTGAGGAAAGGGTATACTTCTCAGTGATCTGCAGCTTTGGGGTGGGCTGGAGAGAACTTTGGGTAACAAATAGCATCCCGCTCCTCAAAGAGCTTTGCCTGCAAACCCAACCTCCCTCTGTCGCCTGAGAGCAGAGCCAGGAGAAAAGAGGTACCTGCCTGTGAGCAGCAGCAAACAGTGGGGTCCTTCTACCTGACACCCTGACATCTGGACTTATAATGCAGAATGTCAAAACTGGCGATCCAGACAAGTGAGCATCCAGAGCAAAGCAGAAACAATTGGAATAGAGAAATGAACGTAAAATAGCCAGGTTCTGTGATGCCGCGAAAACATCTGTGATCTGTAACCGTGCCTGACTGCGAGGACTTGAGGCCCACAGCATAGGCGGCTCTTTACAGTGCCTGACAGTGAGGACTTAAGGCCCCCAGCATGGGTGGCTCTTTACAGTGCCTGACAGCGAGGACTTAAGGCCCCCAGAATGGGTGACTCTTGACAGCAATTTTTCAATCTGAGGCATTTTGATTGGCTCTCTGCATGCACCGGTGATGCAGGCAGGAACTACACTGGGCATCTTCAGGGTCCCTCAACCTCCGTCCCACCTTCCCAGAAGCCTGACTGCATCGTACGTGGGATTCAGGCAGTATCCTCGGAAGAATGGCCTCTTTCCAGGCCAGTGTCTCCCTACCTAATCCCCTGGGGAAGTACTGAGAAGGAGGAGCTAGATCAGAAGCAGGACTGGGGACTCTGAGAGAGGAAACTGATGTCTCTGGTTCTGGGAACAAGTCATTGTTCTTATAATCAGGACAGCAGGGATGAGGAGAGACCCTATCTATTCAGGATCCAGCTGATCCTGCTTACTGAACACTTGCTGTATGTGATGAACCCTACTGGATGCTATCATGAGGGAAGAAGAAGAGTCAAGGGGCCACTCTGCAGAAACTGGTGCAGTGAACAGAGACCGTGTAGTAGACTTCCAGAACCTGCAGCTGGATGCAGAGGACTGTGGAGTATTTGGGCCCAGCCAGCACAGTGCAGCCAGATTTGAGTTAGGTGAGGAGAGGAGGGAGGATTCGTGGAGAAGCAGGTAAGGCTGAAAGTAGGCTTTGAGCTGCACGAAGGCTAGATAGGTAGAAGCCTGTGTGGTATCCAGGGACCGAGTTCCTCCAGGAGCATAGACGGCCACCTTCAAGGACCTTGGAGAGTAGAAGGGCACAAAGGTCTATCCACAAAGAATGAGTGATGATAGTACATCAGGGTCTCTGTGCAAGGGACCCTATGGTCACTGGGCTGGGCAAATCTGCACACAATGAGATGGAAAAGCCAATAGGCAGGAAAAGAAGGACCACTGGTTTCAGGGGAAGCTGGAGGTAAGAACTCTGAGTAGCCTTATTGAAATAGGAAGGGGACTGTTACTGCCCCCAGTTGGTCTCCTGTTCTTTATATCCCTGCCTGTCACTGAAGATGCTAGCCAGCTTCCCGAGAGCCATAGTGAGTAGCTCCTGAGTCGTGTACAGGACAGGATGGTTCCTGGCGAGGCTATAGGTGGGGGACGAGTTCCCCTCACACCTGAGGCTTGGTTGTTGTCCCTCTGTATATTCAGTTTCTCGGAAGCAGGAGGTCATAGTTAGATTTGTGTTTAGAAAGGCCCCTGGCCCCAGCAGAGACTGAGAGCAGGAGAGGCTGTCTCAGTGAAGACACTCAGGGAACCACCCGCAGTGCCCAAGCTCAGGTCCAACCTCAGTGTCCTTTCTCCTGGGTCTCTTGGTGTGGGGCCATTGCACAGCCGTGATACAGACACAATACAGGTGTGTTTGGGGCTGCTCGTTCCCCGTGACAGCAATAAGAACAGCTTTAGAGGGAGAATGTTCTAGTCAGGATTTTTGTTCATTTTCTAAAACATTTTAATTACACCTTCACTCGCTTTTTCTTTTATCTAGAAGTTCTTAATGAAGAAACAAGCAGAACAGTAATGAAAGGAATTCAGCAGGCTCAAACCTTTTGTCTTAGGGATACTCTTCTCCGTTTGCATACCCTCATGCCCTTTGAATTTGGAAATCGGTTTGTGGAGGCACAAGTGGTGTCTGATATGCAAATGGGCTATGCAAATCAACAGGGTGCAGCCTCAGGTCTCTGGGGCTACAGAGCACCCGACAGCAGAACCAGGCAGTGCTGTGGTGTCACAAGAACACCGTTGGTAGTTCATGCTGGAACAATCGGTGATTATGGTCTCCTGAGCTCTGAACAACAGGACTTATTGCTTGACCACAGGACATGTGCCTTGTTCAAAACAGCCGAACGCCACAGGTGGTGCATCAGGTCAGCTCTGGGCACTGGGCCTCTGTGGTAGTCATTGCCTGGTTCTACGAGAGGCTTGTGGCCAGCTCCGGGAGACCGCGCTCCTACTTACCCTGCTAAGGAGCAGCTCAAGCTCCTCATCATACTCATCTCAAGAAAACCGCGGGTGATATGCAGCAAAACACACGGCATACGAGGAAGATTCAGCTTCCTCTTGCTCGTCCCCCTAACGCAGACGATGCCAAGCTATGGTACCCCATCAGCTGCTGGCTTCTGAAAACCTGGAGACCACGAGAGATCCCACTTAGTAGGCAGATGGGTTTGTTTCTGACAGGATCTCACTGTGGAGCCCGGGTTGGTCTGGAATCAGCTCAGAATTAGAGAGATCCATTGGCTTCCGCCTCCCAAGGGCTGGGATTAAAGGTGTACGCCACCAGGCCCCTCAGTAGGCAGATTTTAACATATAACTTTTGACATGCAGCATGGAGGACAAGAGGCCAATCTATCAAAGAATTCCCACAGGCCTGCCACTAAGAGGATGCCATCTTTGGGGT